TCCACTGCGCGCAGCTTCGTGTACTGGTGTTTCCTGAAAAGTAGAAAAGTTTTAAAAATTTTGTTTTTGCGACCATACCGTAAATCTCCTTACGACAAGTTCAGATGTTGTACTAGAAAACCTTCTGTTCTCCTAAGTGTGATCAAACTCAGTAACTGTTATACTTTTTTGAAATTTGGAGGTACTAGAAATGAATTCCTGGATGAAATAACACATCGAATTCCAATTCACTTTGTTGGAAAAACATAACTCAAAAAAGCATTTTTCATTTAGTTGTACTGAGCGAGCTGCAGCAGATTAGCTGCAAATGGTGAAAGATATTCGCAGAACAAACCACAGTTATCTGCAAAAGTGCTCAAAAAGCACTGCCAAACTCTACCACTTTCTCGCTCAGATGTCGAGGAAAATCTTACAAGGGTATGAACGTTAACTGCAAATATGTTAATGTTGTTCCTCTGCCATATAATCAGCACACAACAGTTTTTGCATCTCAAATGTTGGATTTAGCTTTTCAACCTGGCATAGCTTTAAGAACTTGCAAGTGCTCAGCAAGAATAAGCATACTTAATTTTTTGATATAAATAAAGATTTTCTACTATCTTTTTACTTCTATAGTTATCTAGGATTTATAGTATTTGAGACTGTGAACTAGAATGATAATTAAAAAAAAATTTTTTTTTTGTTGACAAACTATTAGCAGTGGAAAGATAAGTCTTCCTTCTAAAACGTTTTGTTTTTTTTCAAGCATAAGGTCGCTGTCAGCAGAAACTAACGCCGAAATTATCCTTTTCGTCGAGACTGACTCGTTTGCACTCCAAGTACTTCAAAACTTCTAAATGTCCATTTCTGGCAGCGGGGTGCAGTAATGTTTCCTAAAAAAGTTTAACAACTTTTTGTATTTCTTGCACAGTACTGATGCAACTGTATCAAATCTGCTTTCCTTTTTCTGGCGACAGTAGGAAATTTCCAGCTTCTCAAACTTTTCATTTCGCTTTTTAGTTTGGTTTAAGTCTATAATTTTGCAAACTTTAAGAAACAGTGAAGAAA